ACGATGGATCCTGGCCCCAGAATGTCCTCAGTGGAAGATGACTGGGGGCCAGTGCTGTTGGGAGAGTAGAAAGAGGGGTTGGCATGACTACAAATTCCAGTATGTGTATTATTTTGAGAATGAAATGCTAAGGAGTGCCTACCGTGTGCCAGCTCTGCTGTAGGAATGGAGTAGACAATGGATACGAAAAGGAATTACGCCCTAAGCACAGGTGCCAACGGTGCCAAGACTGGCAAGACGTGAGGGCACTGCATGGTTCATTCGGGCAGCTGCTGCAGGTGCAGTCGCTTGGAGCCATCTGCCGCCCCCCTTTTCCACTTTTCAACATCCTCCCTCCCCACAAAGTCCTGGATCACTCGTTGTCTTCTGGCTAGCTCTTGGCATCTCCATCTGATCCTAAAGCTGCCCATCGGCACCAATACAGATTCCCTTTCACCTGTGTGCCTGTGTGCCTCCTTGTGGCGGCCTGGCTCAGCAGTGAGCGGGGCTCACGTGAGTGGGATGCTGAAGTGGCGTCCCAGGACCACCAGGTGGGTAGGTTAAAGCTGACGACAGTGGGCATTCCAGACGGGGGTGCTCATGACACTGACGATGTGTCAGGCAAACTGGGAGCTTAGAGAGCCACACAAGATACAAGCGTTGCATTTCCTGGGACATTGTGGGCTGGCGATTAGCCAGAATCACACCCTTCCACTCTAAAGCAGGCTGCACAGCTGCCAATGGCGACAAACAGGGAAGGCTCCTCCTGCCTGCAGTCACTTCAGCTCTAGCCAGGGACCTCCAAGTCCTCAGAGCCCACAGGGGCAGAAGTTATACTCTGTGGCCTTATGTTCAGCATTCAGGAAAGCTGCTCTTTAACATTACTTAGGAGGGAGCAGTTTATGGAGAAGCTGTGTTGCTTATGCTTACATTAGCCACTAGATGGTGGCCCAGTCCCATCATAGAGCCCAGGGTGGGCTGTGGTTCCATCCTGCTTCCTGGAAGAGAGGAGCAGGAGTCTCTTAACTTTTCAGACTTTCAGCCTGCTTTCTGCTTCAGAGGGCAGGGGAAGAGGAATGGGTCTCTCAAGGTCTTCTCTTCCCAGCTGCCCTGCTTGCTAACTTTAAGCCTGTTTTGTCATCAGGAAAATGGTGACATTACCTACCTCATAGGATTAGTATGAAGGGAGACAAACATACTCTGCACACCCCTGCCCTTGGAGAGCTTGTCTAGTTAGGGGATAAACAGGAAAATACACAGAGACAGTGACTCCAGGTGAGAGCTGTGCTGTTCATTAAGCCCAGCCATGAATGAGCAGGGCTGGCAGGAGGTGGTTCCAGGGGCAACGGGAAGAGTCCTTCCTCCTTTTGAAGGCAGAATTCTCAGGACTTGCATAATTCATTTGATAAGGTAGTAAGGGGTATTGGAAGAGGGAGGAAGCGAACATGAATACTGATCCAACTCCTATAATGTTAGGTCTTAGAGACTGAAAACTGAACAAGTGGCATTGGCTCTGAACAGCAGGTAAGTTTGGCACTAGACACATGCAAAAGGCATTGTGGGGGCTCAGTCTGGCCTCAGAAATGAGGACTTAGGCTGTGGGTAGGGAGTTGGGAAAAATACCAAAGGTTGGGGGAACCCCGGCCCTGAGATCTGCCTGTCTTCACCCATATCCCAGGTCCCAAGTTCCCAGCCCCATTTGGGCAGCTCTGGGCATGGCCTGTTCACCAGAGGGCTGGTACCTGCCTTCTCCCTGGGCCTCAGCACTCACACAGGCTAATGTAGGAGCATTACGTTAATTAGCTATTCATTTAATTTAACTTCACATTTGGTCTCAATTAAGCTTAAAATGTTCTTCCTTATAGATGCTACAATAGCACTTGTAATTAAAAAGCAATAACTCTTTGCGTTTCTTCCTTAGAGATCCACTGGGAGGCTGGGTGAATGTGTGTGGGGTGGCTGGGGGAAGAGGAGGAGGCAAGAGGCAAAGAAAGGGAAAGCAGCTCTTGGTTGGTCCTAGCACCATGAGGCCACCACTAAGACTGAGGCTGGCAGGAGGAACTCAATACACCGTGGGTGTCTGAGTGGGGGTAGAATTGCTGCTGGGAATCCTAAGAAGCAACAAAGGAGCAGACCTCCTACTTAAAGGTGTGGGAGTGGAGGATGGCAGATGGGGGTGGAAGGAGGCCATGCTTAGAGATGGAGAAGGGGCCCTATATTCTGTGGTAGGTACAGTGTGCCACCACATCCTAATTTCCAGAACCAGTGAATGTTACCTTTCATGGCAAATGAGATTTTGCATATGTGACTAAGGATCTTGAGATGGGAAGACTGATAAGGGTGGACCCAGTGGAACTGCAGGGCTCCATATGAATCACACAGGGCTCCGTATGAATCACAGGGGTGTCAGGGATTGGCAGATGCTACTCTGCTGGCCTTGAAGACTGAGGAAGAAGGGTCCACCAGCCAGTGGGAGGGGGCAGCCTCTAGAAGGTGGAAAAGGCAAAGAAATGGGTTCTCCCGAATCACCAAAGCCTTTCTTTTACTCCCTGAAACTCATTTCTGGTTTCTGACCTCCAGAGCTATAAACGTGAATTGTTTGAAACCAGTAAGTCTATGGCAACTTGTTACAACAGCAATAGGAAATTGATAATATTCCCAGTGTAAAACTGGGGCATGACCAATATAAAGGCAGGAAGAAAACCACAGGCAAACAAAAGAAATTCCCCAAAGCTTCAAACAAGTGAAGGGGCTGGCCTGTAGCACTTAGGCACGGCATAAGGGCTACTGTGTGACCACCTCAACCAAGAGTTCTCCAAGGGCAGAACTTGGGCCAAATGCACAGGCTGTATCATCCCCAGCATGATACATTAAAACCATTAAAAACACACTTTCTTATTCTGTCTGTGGCAGTGAGCCTGATTTCGATCCCAGCACTCATTTCTTTGGTGGCAGGAAACTGAGAAAGAGGGTCGGGGGTAAGGACTCAGAATTTTTTTTTTTCTTTTTTGCATTAACAGTCACCACCAATGATCTGCTAGAGATAGAGATCAAGCAGAAAACAAAACAAAACACTCCTGGTGTGTGGCTTTGATTCTGCCATTGGTACCTCTGCAAACCAGCCCAAGTCTCTACATTCCAGCTGGATGGTGCTTATAAGAGAGGTTGCAGTGTTCTTGAAACTTGAAAACCTAGTCTACTAGTTGCTCAGCTGTTTTAGTATGTCTGAGCAAGGGGAAAACCAAAGTCTAACACCAGAGACCTGCCAGAAACACAGGGCTGAAGGGGTGAAGCTATCTCTGAGGTCTGTGTGCCTGTTCATGGCTTTCTCCCAGACTCCACAATTCCTAAGATTCTGGTTTTTCCACCAGGCTCTGCTTTTCCTTGGTATTTCTGTCAAATGGATTTGCACTGCCTGTCCTTGCCACTCCTTTTCCTTCGTGTTCATCTTATGGAGCAACACCCTAAAACAGAAGGTAGTCAGGCTCTTAGACTCTAGAGCAAACTGCCTGACTTCAGATCCTGACTCCTGTTTACCCTACCAGCCTATGCCTGTTCCCCATCTGTGAAATAGGGATACTAAGAGTACCTACTTCATAGGGTCAATATGAGGAAGACATAATACAACACACTTAGAAAAATGCCTAGCACATGTTTGCTAAATGGAATAAAAATTATAATTTTGACATGTGGAACCCTAGACTTACTTCCAAGTATTGGGATGGAAATAGAGATTAAAGGTTGAACTTTATGATCTATAAAATCTCTTCCGATCCTGAGTTCTTATGCTCCTATGAGGATAATCAACACTTTTCCAGATTTGTTTCCATACGGTTCTGATTCTCACATCTGGAAATTCATTTCTGTGTAACAGCTAGATACTTAAAGGTTTAAGCAAAGGAATTATGATCAAATGTTTGTTAGTTGTACTATAAATGATCATTAGAATCCTTTAATAAAACTTTCACCTTTTTGGATATGTGTTAGGAAAAAGGTACAAATAGCTAAGAAATAGTATTAACCAATGTAAAAAAAGGAGTTGCTTAAAAGCCTAAAGTGATCTTTGAGAAATGAGATGTTAGGAATCCTGATGTCAAGTTTGAGCCCCACTTCTAATTAACTGTGAAACTTTTTAAATCCCTTGTCCTCTCTGCCTGTTTCTCATCTGTAAAATAATCGCAGCAGGTTTCTCTACACATTGAGCAAAAAATAAACCAGAAACACCTCAACTGCAACGACCATGAAATGGAGTTGATACAAAAGTTTCTGTTAAATAACAGAACAAGAAATGGATTGCTTTATGTTAGAATAAAAACATTTAAAAATAAATTGGATGCCCTCCTTCTGGGACGGAGCGAGGAAGACAGTGTAGACACCTCACAGCCTAGTTCTCTGATGGGCTTACTCCGCCAGGACTAGTGCTTTCCACCCTCCAGGCACATGATAAATGCTGAATGAATGGCAGGATGCGTGAAGGAATGGCTATGCACTCCCTAGTGCCTGGACATTGGTATGGTAATTCTGATGCAGTTTTACATTAAATTTACATTGTACACAAAGAATGTTAGCTTTACTTCCATTTTTATAAGTGAAAAATTTAAGGAACTTATGAAAAAATTACCTATTGTGATATCCATTGTGGGATAGGGTGGTATCCTGCTAATTCAGCTTTTATCAGGATACAATTTTAAGAAGCTATGAAATGACCTATTTTCTTATATAGAAACCCAGATTTACTCTCCCTCTTCACCTTCTAAACAGTGGGGATCCCCAGTCTGCCACAGGATCCCCTCTGGATAGGGAACAGTATAGGCAGGAACATGCTTTAAGGCCACTGATCAAAGAATCGTTCTGGAACACTGAGATGACTTCTGTCTGTATTTAAGGAATGACCTCTGAGCCCTGTCTCCAAGAAGGCCACGAGCATACAGGGTGCCATACCAGAAATTGACTATAGGGTTGTCTCACGCCAAACTCTCAGTGAAATTCATTTTGAGCCCTCTCAGCCTTCTATGTCTTATCCCAACCCCTCAGGGTTTTTTTTGTTTTTTTTTTTTTTTAACATAACTGCTTTGAGTATGAAGGTAGAAAGAAATCTATCATTCATTTCACCACAGCTGGTAATTATAGACTCTGGGTCTGTAGACAGTAGGTCAAGCTGAAATAAACTTTGCACAAAGTATATTTTTTTGCCTAAAGCCAGTCCTTAACATATAAGCCTGTCATTTACATCATGCCAAAAAACAAAAAAAAACATTAGAAAACAGTAGTATTAAGGATATAATTTAGTTTCCAACCTTAATACACTTTCCCCCATCTAAATAGTCACCCAAAATCTCACAGTTATTACGCATTGATCGAATAGTTGAGTAATCTTTGCGGGGAATAAAAAAGATGGATTCATGGTCAGGAACCCATAATAGTTTTCCCAGAGTTACTGTCTCAGCAAGGCTCTCAGAATAGGGTAACAACTGGCACCCTGGGTTTGTTAGGAGCCAAGCTTCCACTTGGGCTGGATAGAGACTCACGGAGAAGCACAATACCATGAGGGCCCCAACTTGTCTCACTTCCCTTAAGATGCATGCATTCTTTTTTCTTTCCCTCAATCTGTTTAGAAGATGTTTCTTCTTTTCTTCCCTGTGTGCCCTAGGCCAGATTAGGAAACTATTTCCTTTGAAGCTTTCTGTATAAAGCCTTATCGGCGAAGTTTTTCCAAAATAAGATAAAGGAGACTGTTCAATGTAGGGCTAACTATACCTGGCCCTCACCAGCCCATGACTGTCAATGATTACCTGTTCTCTCCTCTTGGAATTTAGAGCTTAGTTGCCTCTGGGGTGGCAGGACTGGGTACCTTCTCTACCGGGAAAACAGGATCGAGGAGAGAAAGTGAAGGAGCAGGGGCCTTCACTTACCTCAGGCTGTCAATCAGAGTTCCACTAAGCCTAGTGTATTTTCTTTCCGAGGCAAGCCCTGGGGGCTGCCACACCTGGGTTTGCGAACTGGCTGTTAGGTGAAGCTTGGGCAAGTCAATCTCTTGAAGCTTCAGTTTTTTTCTACTTTAAAGTGGGGATGATAAATATGAGACTGTTGTAAAAATTAAATAAACTAAACGCCAAAGAAATTAGTGTGCTACTAGCTTAGAGCATGTACTCCATCAGTGTTCTCTTTCCAGCTTGTTTTCTTGGTTCTTAATTTTAAGACAGAAGACTCTTTTTCAAATGGCTCTAGAGAGTCAGGATCAGATTTCCAGTGGAACCTAACCAGAGCCCCTCCATTTAATGCAAATTTCACATGGTCTGGGAGATCAGACAGGTATAGAGTTACATCTAATGTTGAGAATATACCTTCCTCACTAGCTTTGGAGAAAGGGCTATAAAGATGAAAAGAGAAGACCCCCAAAAATGAACTCATGGTAATTAAATAAGGCACACAGAGCCCACCACATCATGAAAGAAAAAAACCCTGCAGATACACAGCAAGACAAAAAAACAAACAAAAGAAAAAGATATTTCCATACCTTTCCTCTAATCCCAAGGAAACCTAAAGATACTTGATTCAAAAAGCTGTGGCCAAAAGTTCAAAGTGAAAGTCAGCCTTTCAGCTATTGTTTATTCTTTATTAGAGCAGAGGGAAGTGATACTCATTGCCTTTATAGAGCTCTGCAGAAATATATGCACAGAGTGGTCAATGACCAACATTTGAGCAAGTCTTCCAAATTATCGCATTAAAATAACCTTTTGAATTTGAGTGCCTCTCCTTTGCAAATGACTGCAACCTCATAATGAAGAATTTTATATATTATCAAAAAGAACCAGAAGCCAATGTGGTCTTTTCCCCAAAATCCACTTACTAAGGACTTGGCTAGAAATCCACTCTAAGCAGATCATCATTACTATTTCCCTTTCAAAACAGTCGGAAATCCTAAGGTACAGGTACTAAAATGATAGCAATATCCTTCGTAAGCTGGTGAGAATCTAGCCCCACCGAGACAATTTGGCAATTCTGTTTCTGGAAGCCAGGACTCAAGAGATTTGTCTTAGTGATGGACGGATACTCCTCTAATCTTAAGGCGTGAGGGCTGTCAAAACAAAGGCTCTGAATAGTGACTTTCTGCTCATCAGTGTCATCACAATGAAGAAGAGAACAGGTTTTCATTTTCCTGAAGAGTGTTCAGTAGGAGCGCAGTGGTTTGGCATAGATGGGCTCCAGAATATGATGGATTAAAACCAAGAAGAGGCCTCCAAGGAAGATGGCGCTAAGGAAAGCCAGCAGGACATAGCGGCCAATGAAAAAGTCATCCACAATCTGGAGAAAGAAAACATCAGAATGAAATTACTACCACTTAGGCACTCTGGCTGGGTTAATCTGAACTCTGTGGTGAATGGGCCAAGAGTTTGTTCATGTTTATAACTCCCAAAAACATCCTGCCCTGAGTCTCCTCTTCACATGGATAAAAAAGAATCTTTTCCTCAGCTCCCTGAGCAGGAGACACAGGTCAAGAAGGGATTAATGCGGTACAGGGAACAAACGGCTCAATTTAGGAGGTTGGTAAACACTTTGAAGTCCCTGGATGAATTATATTCTGAAATCCACTATCTGAAAGAGTTAATGAGAAGCTTTTGCTTGGTCCTAGAAAGGCTCATTTTTGTTGTTGTTAAAACACATTTTATTACAGAGAATTTTAAACATACATAAAAATATAATCGTATGATAACCCCCCATGTCTAGGACCCAACCCCTAAAATCATCAATCCATTGTCATTTCAGGAGAGTTCATTTTCAAAATTAAAGGTAACTCTTTAAAGCTATCAGCAGAAGAGTCCCATGCCAAGGGGCAGGGCAAATGGCCATTTACCTGAGATACTAAAACACTAAGAGGATAGGTAACTTGCCCCAAATCAGTGGGCTGCTTGGCCTTACACTTGAGGCCCCAAAGATGTTGGTCTTTGCTGACAAAAACCTATAACTGGTGTTATAGGTTGTCCACTGTCCCCTGCCAGAGCTCCACTCTCCCTAGATCCAAATGTTGGTGCTTAAATTTGGGCAGGAAAAAGCAATTTAATCTATAGACCTATTAGAGCAATAACACAAACCAGGTGGCTGACTGACTTCACAGAAGCTTTGAAATCCCAGTACCTAGGAGAGAATCCAAAACACCTGAAAGGCAGTTGTGGCAGGCAGAATAATGGCCCAAAGATAGCCACATCCTAATCTCCAGAAATTGTGAATATGTTAGATTATATGTTAAAGGAGAATTAAGATTGCCAATCAGCTGTCCTTAAAATAGGATTAGCCTAGATTATCCAATCCAGGTGGACCCAGTGTAATCACAAGTATCCTTCTGAGCTGAATAGGGAAGTGGAAGAGAAGGTCAGAGTAAGAGAGATGAGAACTAAAGTGGTCAGTGAGGTGTGACGTCGCTGGCTCTGAAGATGGAGAAAGGGGGCCGTGAGCCAAGGAATATGAGCAGCCTCTAGAAGCTAGAAAGGATAAGGAAATGGATTCTCCCCTAGAACCTCCAGAAAGAATGCAGCTCTGCCAACCCCTTGCTTTTGGCCCAATGAGACTGATTTTGGACTCTAACCTACAGAATTATAAGCTATAAATCTGTGTTGTGAGCCATAAGTTCGCAGTAATTTGTTACAGCAGCAATAGAAAACTAATACAGCAGCCATATGCAAAGCACCTATTAGACCTGAGCCCTGGTAGGATCACTGAGATCCAAAGACACCTCAGCTGCTCCAGAGATCACCCCAACAGTCAACTTACAACAAAGGTCAGTTTGATAAAACAGCTTTAACATAACTTTGACCTTGGCTCCAGTACTGAACAAGTCTCTTGCGGGCCACATGTTTGCTCGTACGACACGTTTCACTTTTTAATTAGCCAATTAGCAGGCCTTGGGTGCAGAAGGCCCAGGCCATGTATTATTGATACAGCACTGAGCCAGGCTGCTGCAGAGGCCAGCTCTCAAAACCTGAAAATGAGAACTCCAATTCCGCTGGCCATGCTGACAAACGTATTTTGCTCAAACCCCATTCTTCTCTCCTGGGTCTGAAACTCGTATGGCAGAGGATCGAGGGATTGGTTTTAAAAATGTGTTTGCTCTCTGCCCTTCTCCCAGTGTTTACATCTGCAGCATCCAGAAATGTGGCAGCCGACATCACTCTCCCCCTTAAAAGACAAGGAAAATGAGGCGGGAATTTACCCCTGGCTCACACATGTGGTACTCACACCTCCAGAGTGTTTTCCAAATGCTGACAACAAACTGGCGTCCTTGGAAACAGTTTCTTAAGTCTGTTTGGTAAGTACTATTTCCCTTGGAATTTTCAGAACGAATTCCCTTCCTCTTTCCATGGTTAATCCTAGAGTGTCGATTTTAGTTCAAAAGTTACATGTATAACCTTGTGTACTGTTGTTGGCTAGTGTCAAAATGCTAACCCACGAGCTCTCTGGGACGGCCCCGGATATTCTATTAGGTTCTGAACAATGATGGTTTTGAAGACGGACCTCAGCTTGAATTCTTGCTCTGCCTTTTGCTATGTGACCTTGGCCAAGTTACCTTAACCTCTTACAGATTCAGTATTCTTATTATAAAATGCGGATAATAATGGCACCTACGTCGTACTACTTAGGGCTGTCCTGAGGTCTAAATGAGACAGTGCAAACAAGGTGTTTGGCACAGGACCTGGCACATAGAAATCCCTTAAAGAATGTTAGCTATTTTCGTGATCATTACTTAAAACATTGAAATGAAGGTTGAGAGGAAAGCTGTGAGGAGTAATGGGACAGAAGAGGTCAATGCCATTGCCAAGATCCCATGGGTCTGAGACCAGCCATGCATGGTAAAGCTGGAGCCCCAAATCAGGAATGAACCACAACTCCAGAGAAGGACTAGGAGAGAGATAATAAAAATTCATTTAAAGAATTTTTAAATTCTGGGTGCTGGCAGGTATGGTCCCAGGCATGAGGACCAAAGAACTCCCAGAAAACTGTTAGGAAAATTCTAGCACATGTCCCTCAGCACCCTCAGGGCACTGCATCAATTTCAGCCCAGGATCTGAGGTGAGGAGCCCAGGCTGCCAGAAATGGGAACACTTCCATCTCAAGCGCAGGCCTGTGACTATCCCTACTTCATTTTCTCTTTCTCCATCCCCATGGTATGAGGGGGCTTTCCAACAGGCTGTTTTCAACTTGATGCAAACTGGAGTTGAGACCAAATCAGGCAAATAACCGCCTGGTGGGGTTGCAGAGGAATTCAGAGTTAGATTCTTTTCCTCAGTGAAGGGGCAGAGTAACTTAAAACTCCCTCTGAACTTTCCCCATCATTGGTTGAACTTTACCATTCTGACATCTCAGGCAACCCGATGTCAGGGAGCATCGAGGGCGGAGCGGACGTGCAGACCAAGAGAAATAAGAGTTACAGCTCAGGAAGCAAAACAAAACCAACAGCTTTACCTTAACTTCCACCTCTGGGGCTGGGAACTCATCAGCTCGCGGGAAAAGCAACAGAACTGATGTGATGATCACAGCACCAAAGAATAAAAAAATGACAGAGAACCTGGGGTCAAAAAGACAAATTATTAAAAGCACTGTTTACAGTTTCTTCTCTGATCAGTTAGGTCTGGACAGTCTCTTTCTTGGGGCCAATATTCTATGTTTCAGTCCCTTAACAATGCTCAGAGATCTGCTGCCCACAACCTCTTCATCCCAAAGTCCTTCTTCTTAGACAGGTACCATCTGGGTGCATTCATGCTTATTCTTGGTAATTCCCATTTCATAAGAATGAGAATTTGTAGTTTTTATTTTTACTTCTGCCCAAAGGCATAATCAAGAAAAACCAAAGCATCCCCTCTCCCTTTCCACTTCTGTTGTTTTTAGAACAGAATACTTCTACAACAGAAAATTCTACAACTCTCTGCTTCATGCTAACACTACCTTGCCAGAGGCAACTCTACAGTGTTTTCAGAGTCGGTTCATGGCCTAACCCTGTTCTGAAGGCAACACCTGATAAAGGAAGCAGGCCCAACTCATCAAATGCTGCTTTAGTTTTCCTGGGTCCAGGGCTAGAGCCTTGGGGACTAGACGAAGCATCTGCCATAAATCTGAACAATTCCGAAACACATGTGTACAACCTCCAGAAATTCAATAAGCAGTGAAAGCAAAATTTCTTGTCATCTCTTGTGTCCCCCATCTCCTCCACAGTTAGAACTCAAGAACACTACTTCCTTCTCCTCCCATCTCTGCTTCAGAGCATAAATAACACAATTTGTGCTTATAAAAAGAGGTTAAAATGCAACTCATTCAAACTGCCAGTAATTATAAACTGATCTCTTAAATTCTAAATGTTTAATGAGCATCAGCAATTTTGCCTCTAATTGCTTTACCTAGGACTCTCAGCTGGAAGGAATGCCTTACCTAGCTGCCCCGGAGGCTCTGGACAGCAGCACACACAGCAGCAGCACTGACACCCAGAGCAGGGCTAAGATGAAGACGCCCGCACCGACTCCAAGCACAGTGCCAGTCATCCTGCGGAGAGGCAGCGGCGGCTCCCCCTGCACGCCGCACGATCAAGTGTCCTCAGCACTCCAGTGTAGTCTTCCTGCCGCACACTCCCATGAAGGCATTCAGAGAAAGCCTAAACTCATAACAGGGAATTTTTTGACGATCAGTGTGTTAGGAGGATTACTCAGTACAGGTCGTTAATTTTCAAAAATGTCTAGTCCCAGAGTCCCTTAATGGAACTAGAAATTTAGAACCCAAAGCCTTTCTCTTTGGCGGGGACCAAAAGGGTGATTTCTGCTGTGCACTTGGAAGTTTTTTCTGAGTGTTTCCCTTCAAATTTGGTATGTGAGCTCTACTTTGACTTCTTCCCCCGGCTCATGGGAGAAAGCTGAACCCTCTCTTGATATAAAACCTTAAGAACTGCTAGAAGACACCAAGGAATGGGAGCTTCAGGGCCAAAGCAGAAATTGAAGCTCTCAAGTTAAATCCATGGTGTGAGCTTTGACTCACCAAGCAATCAATCGCAGATAATCCCCACTCTCTTGTTGAGTTCTTATTCAAGAAGAAAACCCTTAGTCCTTAGAGAAGAGGAACAGCCATCACTATTTTTGAACATCTACTATGTGCTAAGTACCATACAAACATACCTCATTTAGTCCTGGTGCTAAGCTTCTGAGAGAGGTATTACTATATCCATGTTACAGAATGGGTAAGTGAGAAATAAGCATGGGGTATGTATTAGTTTCCTAATTAGCAGCTCAAAACATGTTCTCTCACAGTTCTAGAAGCCAGAAATCCAAAATAAAGGTGTCAGGAGGGTTGTACTCCCTCCAAAGGCTCTAGGGCAAGGGTTCCCAACCCCTGAGCCATGGACCGGCATGGTCCATGACCTGTTAGGAACTGGGTCTCACAGCAGGAGGTGAGCAGCAGGCAAGCCAGCATTACCACCTGAGCTCCGCCTCCTGTCATATCAGTGGTGGCATTAGATTCTCATAGGAGCATGAAACCTATTGTGAACTGCACATGCAAAGGATCTAGGTTGCATGCTCCTTATGAGAATCTAATGCCTGAAGATCTGAGGTGAACAGTTTCATCCCAAAACCATCCCCCTGCATTTCCCTGTGTGAAACTGCTTCCATGAAACCAGTCCCTGGTGCCAAAAATGTTGGGGACAGCTGCTGTAGAGGAGAATCCTTCCCTGCCTCTTCCAGCTTCTGGTGGTTCCAGGCACTGCTCATTGGCTTTTAACTCACAACTCCAGTCTCTGCCTCCATCTTCCCATGGCATTCCCCTGTGTCTGTCTTTGCCTTTTCTGTCTCTTATAAGAGTACTTGTCATTGGATTTAGGGTCTGTACAAATAATCTAGTATTAACTTGAGATGCTTAAATAAATCTGCAAAGACCCTTCTGTCAAACAAGGTCACAGTCACAGATTCTAGGGGTGAGGATGTGAACATATATTTTTTGGGACCACCATTCAACTCAGAGCAGAATAACAGCACATTACACTACCTCCCTGGTTTTCCTTTTCAGCATTGGAGACAAGTCTTAAGCAAACACATTCCTCTAGGTTGCTGATTTTCTTTACCCTCATGGTTTAAATACCATGAAAATATTAGCTATGAGAAGCTATAAAGTTATTGGAAAGGAGAGTGTAAGCAGGAACTGCTTAAAAAAATACATTTATTGAATCAACATTTATGATGTGCCTGCCATATACAGCACTGTGCTATAAGCTGGGGACACCAAAGGTGAATAAGATATCTTCTGACAGAAGCTCATGGTCTACTGGAGAACATTGTCCTGAAAACAACTGGCCACATTACATTCTGTCTAATGGTAAAAGTGTGGTGCAGTGAGAACTCCAATAGTGAGAAGAGCTTTATGAAGGAAGTACTCTGTACACGCACATTTAGGAAAGACTCAGCATGAAAAGATGACAGAGTGAGGGGAGATGGGACCTGGGGCTCACCAGCATGCCTAACTTCTCTGGGAAACAGTCTCCCCTCATTAGAGCCACATGGGTGTCATCTTGGTCAATCTAACATGCCCAGGGTTTCCCCATCTCTGAGTCTTCATACTTGCTGTTTCCACTGCCTGGAACTAACCCTCTACCCCAACCACGCCTGCTACTATTTGAAGGAGTGGCTTTCCTCAGCCTTCTGATTTCTGCTTAAATGTCACTCCTCAGTGAGGTCTTCCCTGAGTGTCTTCTCTAAAGTAACCCCTCAAACACTGACTCTCTATCACTCTATTTCCTTCAGAGCATCACAAAACTGTAGTTACATTTTTATTTACTTGTTTACAAGTTTATTTTCTGTCTCTCCATCTAGAGTAGTAAACTTCATGAAGGCAGAGACCTGATATCTCTCACTGTGGTAACCCCAGTTCTTAGCACAGAATCTATGGGATGAATAAATGACACAGTGCTAACAAATGCACAAAAATCAGGTGAGGGAGTGAAAGGATCACATGGAGTTTTACAAAGATGACTGTAATCTTTGGTCAATATGCTGGATGGAAGTTAACAAAGGAAGTGCCTCATACAATAGCAAACACAGAAATGTTCAGTAAAGTAGAACAAGAAGAATTTAGTACACAGCAGAGCTCGAAAGCAATAAAGGAAAATTGTTAAGTGCTATTAAAAATGTAACTGAAGGCCTGAGCTGAGCCTAAAAGTCTATGGGGGTGCTGGTGTCTGATACAGACCTTTGGGGTGATTCTCTTCAGGGCAGATAAGGTCTCAAGCCCACGACAGCAAAGAACTAGAAATGAGAACAATGCAGAAAGCTGGGCCCTCATAGTGCTGACCAGTTTTTGAAATAGGGTCTAAAAAATTTGCTACTGACTTAGTTGGAAGAATGCTGGCTGGATGCTTCAGGCCACAAGTCAAAACACAACAGCCCAAGAGAAATCTGAATCCTCCCCACCCCCATGTCATATGCTTGTGTGAGATTCAATACTACCAATGTGGTACAAAAATCCTAAATAGAAAGATTCTCATGAAAACTAGACTAAAAGTGAGAACCCATTGGATCCCAGCAGAGACAAAAATGAAAACCACAGGCTGGCATGTGAGACTCCCTCAAGAGTAAGTGTAAAATAAAGATGTTTTCAGACATACCGAGGGTGAAACAGAGTTCACTTCTCATGGATCCTCAGTGAAAGAGCTACTCAGAGACATACTTCAGCAAGAAGGAAAATGAACCACGAGAGGAGGTATGAGATGGAGGAAGAATGGTGAGAAAAATACTAAGAAGTATTGACGGTAAAGATTTCTGTAATAATGACAATTTTTGAGGGGTTAAAAATAAGAAATAACTAAAATATTACTCAACAGTTATATGGTAGATGGAAAAACGTAGTTCAAAGTTAAAGCATTCTACAGTTATTTTGTTTTGGAGTAAGTATATGTTTTTTAAGGTAAGCACTCATGTTAAAAAAAAATAAGTAAACAGCAAGCAACAGAAATAGAACAAATAACTTCCATACTAGTAAAGTAAAAACAAAATAAAGAAAACAGAAAGTGGGGCAAGGGTAAGGGATAATGTGGTAGGTGGCAGAACAAAGAATATGTAAGGAAAATGGAAAATACAAAATAAGATTGTAAAAATAAATCCAAATACAACAGTAATCATAGTACATGGAAACATTATATTTGACTACTAAAAGAAATTCTCTTAGATTTTTCTTTTTTAAAATAGCTCTGTACAAAACCTCTGCAGAAAGCATAATGAGAGGCTGAAAATAAAGAGATTGAGAAAGGCATGCAAGGCAAATATTAACAAGACAAAAACCAGGGAAGGAGGGAATAAGGAGATGGTCAATGAGTATAGAATTTCAGTTTTGCAAGATGAAAATATTCTGGAGATGTTTCACATCACTGTGAATATACTTAACACTGCTGAACTGGACCCTTAAAAATGGTTACAGAAAATTGTATTTATTTATTTATTTTAGCCATGGTTGGAAAAAAAATAAGTGAAACAAAATAAAATATAAGCTACTGAAGCAATATACTAATATTTTTGTGGATTTGCTTTCCTTAACCTATATATTCAATGCAATTCTAACCAGTCTAAAAACAGTTTTTTGTGGAACTTGAAAATGGATCCTAAGCAAAATAGATGTAAAGCTCTGAAAAATATTAATAAGAAAACTCACAAAAAGGAACAATTCAGTAAAAAGATACAACTTGAAACAAATGTGAACCCAACAACAAAACTTCCAAATACATAAAGCCAAAACAGACAGGAGTACTATAATAAATGGATAAAACCATTAATTTAGTGGGAGATTTTTTAAATATATATCTCAGAAACTGTTAGATCAAGCAGATAAAAAATAAGAATAAACACTTGAGAAAGAGGATATCTGAATGAGAATAAATGTGTAAAAAGGTGCTCAACTTTAATTAGTCATTAGGAAATTGCAAATGAAAACCAAAATTCAGTACCTTCATATACCCACCAGAATGGCTAACATGAAAATGACAGACAACACCAAGTGTTAACAAAGATGTGGAGTAACTGGAATCCTCATACACTGCTGGCGAGGGCCATAGTTTGTTAACCACTACTTTGCAGGCTATTGGTAGTGTCTAATAAAGCTGACTATAAATGCACCCTACATCCAGCTCTTCTATTCTTAGTTGTATTCACAACAGAAATGCACACATAAGTTCACCAAAAGACATCACAGCCCTACTTGAAATAGCTAAAACCTCAAACAATCCAAATATCTACCAATAGAGTGGATATAGTATTTACAATCTATTCATTCATACAGTGTAAAAAGCATTAGGTAGTATAAAGCAATGAGAATAATATAAAGCAATGAGAAAGAACACACTCAACTAGACTCAACAATGTGGATGAATTTCACAAATATTGAGTGCAAAAACTAGAGGCAAAGAGTTCATATTATATGATTCCATTTAAATAATGTTCAAAAACAGGTCAAACTAATTTTAAGGGCTAGAGGTCAGAAGTATGGTTGGCTTGTGAAACACAGCAACTGTAGGGGGTTCAGGGAGATGCTGATAAAATTCTGTTTCTTGATCTGGGTTTTGGTCACCTGGCTTTGTTCATACAGTGATGTTGTATCTAACCATGCACTTAGGATTTATATACTTTTTCTGTATGTGCTTTACGCTTCACTAAAAAGTTTACAGAAATAATATTAAGAGATGTATCAGCCAAGTGTAGTAAATGGACCCATTTTTGGTCCTGATTCAAACAAAACATTGTAAAAACCTTTCATGAAATAATTGGGGAAATCTGAAGAATATATAATATTAGGAAATTACTGTTTGTATTTTCAGCAAAAAAAAATTTTTTAAGATGGTATTATATTGTTAAAAGACTCTTTATCATAAAGACATATACATACACACAAATAACACATTACAGATAACAGAAAAGGGTTTCTTAGAAGCTTTATATTATCTGGGGGAGAGAAGGTGAAGGGGGTGACAGGAAACAAGAGTGGTCATGAGCTAGTTGTTGAAGCTGGGTGATGAGTGTGTAGATGTTTGCTATTCTATTTTCTATACTTCCGAATATATTCAAAACTTTCATAAAAGATGTGGCTATGTATATCTGTGTTAGCATGAAGAAGCATAACAAAAGGTGAGTAAGATTTGTGTAGCTAAAATCATAAAACTTTATTCAAAGACAAAAAAAACAAGAGAGAGAGAGAGAAAGAGACCTGAATAGAGAAATAAAGCAGACCTGAAGAGAGAAATAACGTGTGTTCCTGGATGCGATGGTTCAACTACAAAATTTTAATTTTCCTTAACCTATAAATTCAATGCAATTCTAACCAAAGTCTAAAAACAATTTTTTGTGGAACTTGAAAACGGATCCTAAATTCATATGGAAGAGCAAAAACCCAAGAATAGCCAAAACAATTTTGAGAACTAGGATGGCAACTTGCCTTTCT